GGTTATACATTATGGGAGGAAATCTCCCTTTTGCTCACCGAAATTTCCCCCCATTTCACCTACATAGGATGCTCAGATCGGTATTTTTAAGCCCGAAAAAGTGATTTCTCCCCGTTTTTGGCACGTCTTTCCCCTTCCGGGATATTTACAAAAACGCAAATGAAACGAAGCAGCAGCTTTGATACGGTCCTACCTTCCAATTTGTATTCATTCAGTAATCCTGAGCCTGTTGTTTACAGATTTCACATTATTCCGGATGGTTTTTGAAGCTGTACTTACAATATCCACATCGCAAGACCCATCACGTGCAATTTCAGCTTAGTTCCCCGTGCATTTTACTTCGAAGGCGCAGGTGCCTGACAAGACCATGAAACGTTCCCTGCCCTTTGAAATCTAGCCCATCAAGGAATATCCGTTTCCCTGGGTTGCTAGATTTCTCTTGCTTTCATATAGTGGCCTTTTCCAGATGGAGGCTCCCCAAAATCTTACTGGCTGGGGGAAAGCTGGGAATAATGAAGAGAAGGAAGTCAACTAGCTACTCTCCTTTGGTCTGTGGATTCGCTCCAGTTCATCCGGCTACTCCTGAGCCTGCCAAAAAACACGCACGTTATCGGCTCCCACTCCTAGGTTAGGTTACAGTCATTCCACGCCTGAGGCCATGGGCCCGCTTCTGCCTCACCTCCTTGATGATGGGGTGGGGTGCTTTGAACCCTTGGACGACGGTGTCCCGGGCGTCTTTGTTGCACGGTCGGCACCCGGTGGGCCTCACCTGCTTCGTTGTAGTACGGAAACCAGCGGAAGCCTAAGCGGAGGGCAGATGCTCTTTCATTGCCATCCAGCGGTCTTTCGCTCATCCATCCTGAAACCCAGAGCATCGTCAATCAGCAACGGGGAGCCATCGCCCGGGTCTTAATCTGCTTTTCCCTCTACGCTGCGGACAAGAGGAGCCGTCTCAACAGGCTGAGGGACTCCGAGCAAGGTCCGCCTTCCCCATCTGGGGAAGTGGCCCTTTAGGAAATGCCCAAATAGCTGACCCCGAGACAAGGGGACGAAGAGTTAGAAATCAGGGACGCTGGCGGGGCGATGGAGAGCCGCCTATGAGAAAATCCAAGGCGATGCCTCTGTGGAGTTCATCGTGCAAACTTCCTCCGCTCCTGGGCTAAGTCGTTCTTTGGAAGTGGGCTTCTGCACCCTCCAGACTCCTGGCTGAAACGGCCTGCTATGTTCCCCTCTCCTCCCACTGGGACGTCACAACTGCCCTGAGATGGGGCTGTTTATCTGCACTCAACCGCTACCCAGCTGTTCCATGGCGCGACGGGCACCCGTTGACACCCCAACCAACTTCCCCAAGCGTCCCAAGACTGCCCCAAGCGTCAACCAACTTCCCCAAGTCCCCCCTCCCTTTTGTCTAACTCCCTTGTCCGTTTTTAAATCTTTCTCCGGGAATTTTGCACAGCAGCCGGGGGCACGCAGGACTTTTCCGCAGAGCGAAGAGGGGGGCACCTGAGAAGCACAGCGGCCTTCGAAGAGTCAGACGGGGCGGGAAGCTAAGGAGTTTCTTCCTGCAGACCTTTTGTTCCCATCGAGTTGGTGTAGAAACGAATCCCTGCCCTGAAGCCATACTTCTGGAAGCTGACTTGGGTCATAATGGGGAGGCTGTGATGTCACTCTTTGACCCTTGGGTCAGCAGGCCAACAGCCACAGCGCAGGGGCTGTAGCTCAACAGGGAAAGCCCAGCCTCGGCAGACAGGAGGTCTTCAGTTCAATCCCCAGAACGTCCAAGGCAAATACGTTTGGGCGGCAGCCCAAAACGGTCTCTGAATCCCGAATTTGCGAAGAAACTGATCAATCTGTTCTCATTAAAGCAGGTCTGGGCTATCTCCAGAAACAGTGCCACTGACTTAGATCTCCAACTGTTCCTTTCAACTCATTTTAACTCTGCAAGACTCTTTTAAGCCCCCCCCCCCCCCCCCCCCAC